TTATTTCGTAGTTAATTAGATAATTATTTTATTAACTGAATTTCTTAAAACGAATTTTAATCAAAATACTAAAAGTTTAGTAGAAAATAATATAGAAATTTAATAAAAATGCAATTAACGTTTAATTTACACAAAATAGTTCCGCGCATGACGAGAGCTGCGACTATACCGACGCAGCAATGTAAACATACGTCAAGAAATACTACTGTACATATAAACCGGAGAACTTGTTTAATCAATAAAACTGTTAAGAGAGATTATTTATCATGTTAACCGTTGTGACGAGATCTTACATAATTCCAAGGTTATCTTGCAATCTATTCCTTTCAATCAAAAAACGAACTATTCTACAATTGAATAGGTCCATCAGCTATATTGCAGGTTATGTCAATCACAATTCAATACGTTTTTCAAAGAGAAATCCACGAACATTACTGCAATTATCTATAAAAAATTTTAGTACAACTACTAAGTATTCGACAGAAAAGTAAGCATTATTACGTTATTTGTGACATTTCAAATCAACAATGTGTAATATTTGAATGTACTATTAATGTAAAAAGAAATTTGTATAATTTTTATTTATGTAATTTTAGCGAACTTAGCTCTGTGGAATATGAGAAAATCTGTGATGAAACTTTGGACTCATTAACTGAGTATTTTGAAGAATTGGTTGAAACAGCGGTGCATTTACCAGATGCTGATGTGTCTTACGGAGTATGTATATTGTATATTCATCATTTTCTTCTAATCATTGTTTTTTTTTTAGTAGTAGAGAGAAACACGATGTGATAGTTCTAAGAAATAATATTAATAGAAGTTTAATGATTATGGGATGATTATGATTATGTTATATGATTATGGGATCTATGATCTATTTGGCATATACATTGCACTAATTAAAAAATTTATAATTCTTATTTTGTGAGTCTATCAATATACTAAGAAAATTTTTGCTGCAGGATGGAGTTTTAACTGTGAAATTTGGCAAGCCATATGGTACTTACGTTATAAATCGTCAAACACCGAACAAGCAAATTTGGCTCTCCTCTCCAAAATCTGGACCCAAACGTTATGATTTTGTAAATAGCCAATGGATATACAAACATGATGGCAAAACCTTACATGAACTACTTAATAATGAAATACCAACAATTGTAAAATTTGAAGCATGCTTTGACAAATGTTCTTTTAGTGGTAGAGAGAAACAAGTTGTGATGGATAGTTCTAAAAAATAATATTAATAGAAGTTAATTACACAATTGCGCGAATCTATAATCTATTTGATATAATTATATTACTAAAGACTATTAGACATTAATGAAGTCTGATTTATAAAAATTGTACATAAAACTAATATAAAAAAAATAAGAAATCAGTATAAATGCTGCATTTATAACGATATTAAAGAAATTTCATGTAAGTAATTTTAATATCAAGTTATATATTGCATATTTGCACTGCAGTAGCAATGAATTTCTATAATAGCACGTGTACGTTGTTATTTAGTATTATACTTTATATTGCAGCAAATATGGAACATAGAACGAATATAAATTATTTTTTAAAGAAAAAATATTTATATATATCTATAAAAAT